ATAAATAAATAATCTTTTAAAAAATAATAATAATAAATAAAATGAAAACAGAACCTCCCAAAAGAACTCACTCGTCATAAATCCCTTCCGGGGATCAATGTCTCCTCTTGGAGAAGAGAAGCTGACACCATTCCCAGATAGACTTTGTCACAAACTATCATATCTCCCACTTACTCTCCTGAGGGCCCATTTATCATTCCTAAAATTCATTTGCTCTCCCGTAAGTGGCTTTTCTCCCCTCCCTTTTCCCTGTTACGGTGGTATATGAGCTCTCAGATCTCACCGTTCCTTTGCACCTTCACTTCTTTCTGTGATGCCTGAGCATATCAAACTAAAAAGAAGTAAAGTTGTGTGGCTCCTATTAAAATGTCTTTCATCAGTTTAGTTGACAGGTCCCCGGTATAGAACCTAAGAGGGTAGAGGAAAAGGTTTGCCTCCCCCACACAACTGAAGTTTGCCAGTGACATCAGCTGTGGGTCGATGCTTCCTGGTTCCACTTGGCTTACATTAGTCTGGGCTGAAGGTGGAAACGTCGCCAACAAGCCAGCCCTGCCTTCTCCTTGACACCCTGGCCCGGGAAGGCCCCTCCCACAAGTGGGTCAGTGACCCGGAACAGGTGAGGGCCCACCTAGTCAGGTGCTGGCGGACTCTGCCTGGATTTAGTCTCGTGCCCAGTCAGACCACGGGATTTGCTTGGGCATAGAATGGACTATTCACATAGCCTGCTGAGGTCACGAACTGAGTACGTGACCTGGTTTGGGGGAAGGAAGGAGACATGTTTGCTGGAAACCAGAGGCTCTTCATGAAATTCTCACTCCCAGTCGTGGCGGTCAGTGGTGCTGAGATCACTAGGTGAGTGGTAAGAGGGGTGCGGGGCGCGGGAGTCTCGTCACGCCCGTGGGGCTCGCAGCGCCCCGGTCCAGGGATGAGTCAGAGCACCTCCAAACCCGGGACCACCAGATATCGCCGGGGGGTGCAGCATGAAGTGTTCGAGCCCAAAGTGGTACCTGGACTCCCATCGAGGCCTTGAGTCTAACTTCCCACTGATGAGAAATTCCTCGGGCCAGAAAACAAGCTGAAGGAACCTCAGAAGCCAGGGACCTGCCAGGAGGTGGTGTCTTGCAGGACAAGGCGCTTAGGCTCTGCGGGAAGCCAGGGGGGCGGGGGGTGGTCTCAGCTCCTGCAAGCGTGTGTGCACAGTGCTGTCTGAGCCCGGGTGACCCAGGCCCATCCTCCTCCCACGGGGGCAGCGGTGGGCAGCCTGGGGGCGGTGGCCACATGGTGCGAAGGGAGCGGACTGACGGGGCCCTGAACCTGGCGGGCGGCCTGGACCTCGGGCCGCCTGCACAGTCCGGGGCCCCTTACCTGGACGTCTGTTTTTAGTAGGTGCCGCCCAGTGCTTTCCTCATGCTCCCCCCAAGCCAGCACCCTGTGCTCTGGGCCCCCAAGCGGCCCTCAGGCAGCTGGTACCCACTTTGCTGGACTTGGCGGGAGCCGGGAGAACCTGGGAGTAACGTCCCCCTGGGAGCAGCCCGAAGCCGATGACCCACAGGAGTGGGGTGTGACGACCCCAGCTCTCTTGCCCCAGGTGGGACAACTGAGGTGTGACCCTTGCCCTGTCCAGATTTCCCCTCGGGGACCGTGTCCGATGTCCCCCCCATTGCTCCCCCTGCCTTTCCCTTTGGTTCTGCGCCCCCCACCGTGGGGCTTCTGCCCCTCCACACTGCTGGCATGGGGGGCTGCATAGGCCTCAGTTGTGGGGCTTCCAGGGCGCTGTGGGGGGCTGTACAGGGGCATGCCATGTGACAGCACAGACACCCCCAGACGTGGCCCTGTGCACCAGGGGGCAGCTGCGCCCATGGAGAGGCATCGCCCTGCTGGATTTTCCCAGGGAAGCCTAACAAAGCCTTCCCACGCGTTCCTGCCTCACTGTGTGCTTCTGGGAGCCTGGCCCGGGAGAGACGGCAAGGGGAAAAACTCCACCGGGGGCCAGTTTCCCAAAGAAGGGGAAGGGCCTCTGAGATTCGGTGTGACGGGTCTGATTAACGCACTGATTTGTTTAGACTCTCAGATTCTTTTTTTTTTTTTTAAGATTTTATTTATTTGTTTGACGGAGAGAGACACAGCGAGAGAGGGAACACAAGCAGGGGGAGTGGGAGAGGGAGAAGCAGGCTTTCCACAAGCAGGGGGAGTGGGAGAGGGAGAAGCAGACACCCCACTGATCAGGGAGCCCAATGCGGGGCTCAATCCCAGGACCCTGGGACCATGACCTGAGCCGAAGGCAGACGCTTAACGGCTGAGCCACCCAGGCGCCCCTCTCTGGTCATCTTTTAACTTTAATCAAGGCGCAGTTCACAGAACAAATCAGTGGCATGTAGTATATTCACTGTGCTGTGTAACCATCACAGCTGTCTAATTCCAGAAAGTTCCATCACCCCAAGAGGAAACACTGTCCCGTCCCCATCAGCCATCACGCCCCACCCCAGTCTCTGACACCCACAGAGCCCCTGCCTGTCTGTGGATGCGCTTCTACTTTATTTATTTACTTATCTGAGAGAGAGAGAGAGAGAGCACGCGTGAGCATGGGGGGAGGGGCAGAGGAAGAAAGAGAATCTCAAGCAGACGCCCCGCCTGGCACAGAGCCGGATGTGGGGCTCGATCCCACAACCCTGAGATCAGGACCTGAGCCGAAATCAAGAGTCAGATGCTCAACCGACAGCACCACCCAGGCACCCCTCCTTTTATTATTTTTTTATTATTTTTAAAATACAATTTTTTTTTAAAAGTTTTAGCTTTACAGAAAGAATTGTGAAGATGAAAGCGTTCCCATAGGCCTGCCCATTTCCCCGTCATTAGCACCGAACATCAACTTGTGACCCTGCCTGTCAAGGGGAGCGCAGGGAGGACACCTCCATCTCGGTCTGGTCCTGGGATGCGCGAGGCCAGGCGGCTGTGGGGCAGCTGGCGAGCCCCAAGCCAGCCTCTCCGTTGACCCAGCTGGAGCCCGTCACCAGCCTGCGAAAGGCTCCCAGTTCCTCCCGCTCTGGGATTTTCCTGCCACTCCTGGAGGAGATAGACGTGGAAGGGGTAGGATGGGCCGAGAAGAAACCACAACTCCAAGAACAAGGTGTGCCGGGTGCCGGGCCCTGGCAGGCAGGAGGAGGCTGGGAGAGGTCAGCGGTGAGGCCTGGCAGGGCCGGGCAGGGCTCGGTGCCACCTGGGAGGGCAGGAGCTTGGCGTGTGGCCCCCACTCCTCGGCCCACACACATATGCCAGGCCGGCAAGGGACAGGGGAGGGGCCCAGAGGCACTGAGAGGGGGACTTGGCCGGGGGGGGGGGGGGACGGTCCTTGAGGAGGCGGGGTAGCTGTGGGGTCTCCGCGGAGGGCTCTAGGGGGCAGCGGGACAAATGCAGGGTGGGGGCCAGGTTCAAGGGTGCTCAGGTTTTCCTTCGGGGTGCCAGGTGGGGGGAGGGTATGCTCGCGGCTGAGCCTGGCGTTCCCAGGGAGGACGGGGGTGGCCTGCGGGCCCCTGCTGCCGCAGGACATCCTAGCACCTACGCCTGTCCAGGGAGGCCTGTCCCAGCCCAGAGAGCGCCCCTGCCTCCCCAGTCCCACGCCCAGGCTGACTCCAGGTGCTCCCGGGTCACCCACTGACACAGCCAGCCATTGGTCCTCTCTCTGGCCTCCTGGCCACTGCCCTGCCCTGGTCTGTCACCCCTCACCGGGCTGGCTGCAAGGTGACAAGAGCTCACCAGGCCCTCTGGGCTGCGTCCACACTCTGCACGGTGACAAGATGGTCCTCCCAGAAATGACATCCAGTCGGGTCTGTGCGCTGCTCCAGTCCTGTCTGTGGGTGTCCATCCATCCACGCAGGGACGACGCGCAGGGACAACGGAAACAGCGCTCACGGCAGCACAACTCACAACAGCCAAAAACGGGGGAGCGAGCTCAGTGTCCGTGGACGGATGAACACATACACACGTCTCCCATGCACGGGAGCGTCCCTCGGCCGCGAGCAGGAGGGAGGCGCAGCGCCCGGGGGACGGACCCGGAGCCCACGATGCTCTGCCCCAGGGACAGACCCTGAGCCCACGCAGACGCCCCGGAAGCCCGCGCCGAATGTGGGTCGCTGGGCAGCTCAGGCGCCAGGCCACCTGCTCACACCTCACCCGGCCCCTCTCGGATCCCCGTTGGTCCACTGAGGACTGAGGACGCCGAAGCACACAGCAACCAGGCCGGCACCTCAACCCCCTCCCCCACCCCATTGGCTCCTGCCTCCAGGAAGCCCTCCCTGATCCGCTCCCTCCCCGCCAGGATGGGAAGTCAGCCCTGGGCTATCCGGCACAGAGGCCTGCAGAGCGAGGATTCAATGATGGCTGAGGGCCAGCCACATGGGGGAGGTGTGAATTACTAAGTCAGCAGCAGGACCACCAGAAGCTGCTCCCTTCCTCCTCCCTGAGCTTGGATCTGGGGCGCCCCGAGCCTGGCCTTGGCTGTGGGGAGGTGATGGCACAGCGTCCAAGGTCTGGCCAGCCCCGTTGCCCCCCCTTCCCTCTTGGGTTCCGCGGATTTGCCGAGCTGCCCAGCAAGTCGTGAGGACGAGCCCACCAGCCAGGAGCCCAGGCCCCCTGAGCAGCAAGCCAAGCCCGCTGCGCCTGTCCACGCTCTGGGCTCACGGCGTCACTGGGGACGAGAAATGGTTTGGGGCCACTTGTTACAAAACAGAAAACCAGGACCAGGGCACACAAGTTTTTATGACTTTTATTAAATCCTTACAAAACAATACAAAATTCCGGCATTGACAGTTGGTGTAAGGAAAATGAGCTGTATCGATTCACCTGGTGTGGTGGAGTTAAAGTGCTTGGGTGTTTTCCCCCCACTTTTAAAAAACTTGAGTTTTTTTTTGTCTTTTTTACACATCTTAACATTGAGACGTGGCCGTTCCCCTCCCGCAGGGCCAGGTGGCCTGGGAGCCAGGCGCTCATTCACAGTAACGGTTCCGACAGTCTCTCCAGCTCCCATGGCCCACATGACATGTGGCGGGCGGAGGAAGTGGCTGTCCCACCTTTGGGAAAAAAAAAAAGCTCCTCACAGCTCCGCGTTCCAGAGTAAAACGGCCAAGGCGCCTGTGGCGGGCGGGGGTCCGTTTGTTTCTTTTTTACAAAAAGGCGGAATCCCCAGTTGCAACACAGTGGGATCACTGGTGGGCACGAAGTGGGGGCGGGGGCGGCCTCCCCACCCCCCCGGGGTCTTTGGAAAGGCCAGTCCACAGATCCAGGCGGGCGGGGGGACCGGAGGGGGTGTCAGTCCCCACCAGCCACCAGAGACTGCCACAGAAACAGCATCTGGGCCCCCCCACCCGCGAGGCCCCCCAACATTCAAGTATTCAAGAACAGGGAAGGGAAGTCAACTGATGTTTTTAAAAAATTAACAAAACAGGACGAACAACTAGAAACCAGAGGGCTTTCCAGGCCCTGGCCTGCCATGGAGACCTGGCCAGACCCCAGGCCACGCTGCCTAGCCGGTGGCGGGGGGCGGGCCACAGGGACCCTCCCCGGCCAGCAGGAGCGCGTGTGCGTGGAGAAGGGGGGGCCTGTATTGCATAGTGTTTCCCACCCGAGGACGAGGAGGGGCGTCGGTCTCCCCAAGCCTGGCAGGCCCCTCGACATGTGACCCCAGCGCCGAGGTGGGCAGAGGCGGGCATGGCGATTCCTGGGTGCCCGGAAGGAGGCCGTGGCAGCGGCGGCCGTTTTCCTGAAGGTGGGCAGAGTCGAGACGCTGCCCTTGGGGGGTGGGGGGCTTCAGCAGGACCCCTGGGTGGGCCCTGGCTCTGAGGAGGAAGGGGCTGACAGAGCTTCCACGCCAGACCCCAGGGGTGACAAGGGGCGGGACGTGGCCGTGGTCAGACTGAGCCCTGAGAAGGGGCACTCGGGTGCCCGGGGTGGGGGTCTTTGGGACCCCCACGTTGGCTGACGGGCGCCTGTCCAGCCCCTCCCACTTCCTCTGGCACCGCCCTCCTGGGTGGGCAAGGTAGGGGGCAGTGGGTGCACCCTCCCACCCCGGGTCAGCTGCAGCTTAAGGTCAAGGTTTGAGAGAGCCCCGATTGTCAGTCAGAGGGGGGAGTCCAGCTGCCTGCACCCAGGACCCCTCCTGCCGCGAGGGAGACCTGAGAAGCCCCCGCCCCACCCGGCCACCAGGGTGTCTCCCGGGTGAGGGATGAAGGAGCTGCTGTGTCACTGAGGGGAGGTGTGGGGTTGGCCCGTCCCTGAAATACTGTGAGGCTGGGGAGGGGGTGCGTCCCTGTGCCCCCAGCTCTGGAAGACGACAAACGCCTCCTCTCCTGAGTCACATAGGGCAGGGCGGGGCAGGCGGGGGACCTTCACAGTACAGGGCTGGGGAGGCAGGGACCGGGCAAGCCCAGCGACACACGTCCCCCACTCTCCTCCCCAGGCGTCTGCTTTGCTTTTAACACCTTTAAAGGAGAACAAAAATGGGGGTAGGGCAGAAAAAAGGAGAAGAAAACCCAACAGCAAAAACCTCATATAAAAAGAGCCCCCCCCAACTGAGCTTAGCGCCTCGGAGTCCAGCCAGGGGAGGGCAGCCTGCTGGTCACCGGCTGGCAACAGCTTAAAAAAAATCTTTAGATTTGATGGGGGTGGGGGTGGGGGGAGGGGAAGGAGTGACCTATGTACAGAGGGAGCGAGGGGTCACGCGTGGTCTCCCACCAGGACCACGGGGGCCGCAGACAGGCTGGCTCGCTGCCGCCTCTGGGCCAGCTTGCTCTGAGAGGGTGGGGACAGCTGCAGGCAGCGGGAGGTAGCTCGGATGACCACGGGCGGGCCCTGCTCTGCCTCCTCGGCTGCGTCCTCCTCCCGCTGAGCCAGCTGCCGGTTCATGGCGATGGCCTCAGCCGCAAACGACGTGAGCTCTTTGGCACAGCTGTTCCTGGGGAGGGGGCAGTCACGGAGAAGGTGATCACGATCTCTTCGGGACCCCCGGGGGCGTGCAGTACCCTGGGGGAGGGGCTGCAGGCCCCAGGACCCCCGCCCCCACTGGGGGCCCAACCCATCACCATCACTGGTACAGGAAAACCCAAGCACTTAGGTGGCTCCCCAACCCAACAACTTAAGGAAGCTTTCTTGTCTTTTTTAAACACCTAACGTTAACCACCCGCCCCCCCGGGGTCCCTGCTCTGGGCCCCACGCCCCCACGCGGGCCTCACCTCTGCAGGACCATGGGTGTGGGCAGAGTGTTCTCCGGAGCACACTGTAAAGCGACAGGAGGGCGGGGCTGAAGCGCAGAGCCCCGCTGCCCTCCCAGTGCCCAGATGGCTGTGACCGGGGTTCAGGGGGTGTACCTGCTAGAACGGAGTCAGGCCAGGGGGAGCAGGATGTGGCAGAAGCCCAGCAGTAGTCCATTACACCTGCTCCCCGCCCCCTCCCTTGTCTACTCATGGGTCTCCTGACGTTCCAGAAGGACACAGGTGCCCCTCCACCAGCTCGCCCTGAGATCAGGGCCCGTCTTTGCTCCCTGGGGAGGCCCAGTGCCAACTTCTATTTTTGGTTAAGACCCTTGCCCTTGTGGCCTCCTTGCCCTGGGCTGGCAGCCTGGCTCGGGTGACCGCTGGCCAGAGAAATGGCAGGCTCTTCCCAGATGGGTGGGGACAGAGAGCTGGGCTGGGGTTGGCAGGCTCTGCTGGGGGTCTGTGGCCTGCCCAACACCTGGACGACCTCGGCTTGTTGCTCTGTGCAGGCGTGCCAGGCAGAAAGAGGCCCCAGCGCCTCCGGGGCACAAAGCCAAGCAATTCACTGAGCAGCAGAGCCTGCAGTCCCAACCCCTAGCTGGTAGCAGCAGGTGGATTTTCCTGCCATGCCCGTGCCCCCCCCCCAGACAGCCGAGATTGAGCCCCAGACCCACGCGGCAGCGGGGGAGCTGCTGCTGGTCTTCCCAAGGACCCTCGTACACCCGCTCCAAGTCACCCCTAGCCCCTCGGAGGCTGTGTGGAGGCAGGAGGCCCTAGCGGGGCTCACACTCACCCCCTGCACCCAAGGGTGCTGCAGAACTTGGGCGGCGCTCAGCCTCTGCTTGGCGTCGCGGACAAGGAGCTTTGAGATGAGGTCTTTGGCAGCGAAGGAGATGTGAGCCCAATCCTTCTCAGGAAACTCGTACTTGCCCTCCTGAATGCTCTCAAACAGCATGTTCTGCGGGGCAGACGAGTAAGGGGGTGAAAGGTCCGCTGCAGGCGACTGAGCCCCCACACGGACACGTGCCAGCCGGGACCCAGAGTTGGGCACGCCAGCTTAGTAACGAGCTCTGCCAGGGGCCCGGGACCCAACCATGCGGCCTAACCCATGACCTGGACATGCTGCAGCCCCCCTCACCCCCCCACCGACAGCAGACTGGACTGGGGGCTGCAGAGGGCCCTGAGATCAGCTGGCAGGACGGCGGGGGGGGTGTGCACTCTGGGGGGCCAAATGCCTGGGAATGACGCAGGCTGCAAGGGAGAGCCGGCCTCAGCCAAGTGCTCAGTGGACTCTGCCTGGGACGGGCTGACGGGCAGCCAGGCTCCCGTGGGGCAGAGGCCACGAGGCTGGAACCCGTCTCTCCTCATGGCAGCTCCCTGACTCCCAACTGCTTTCTCTCAGGCCGCAGAGCCAAGAAGCCTGTGTAACCCCAGGAGGGCAGGCCAGCACTATCCTGTGGACATGTGGGGCGTTGGGAGACCATGATCAAGGCAGTGGCGGGATGCAGGGGTGGAGCGGATATGGTGCGGTGCAGGGGATGCGGGAAACTATGGAGTGCAGGGGGTGGCTGGGGGTCCCCGCAGGGTGCAGGGGGGGTGCACGGGGCACAGGGGGCGCAGGGAGGTGCACGGGCACAGGGGGGACGGGGTGGGGGGGGGTCCCTGAGGGGTTCAGGGGGCACATGGGCACAGGGGTGGTGGGGGTCCCCACGGGGTTCAGGGAGCGCAGGGGGCACGCGGCACAGGGGGCGCATGGCGGTGGGTGGGGTCCCGCGGGGTGCAGGGGGCGCAGGGGGGCGCGGGGGCCGGCGCACACGCGCACCTGGCAGGCCGGGCAGGCCTCGCCACGGTCCCAGCCGCAGTCGCTGCCGCAGTGGCCCACGAAGGGCGGGTAGCCACTGAGCAGGATGTAGAGAATGACGCCCAGGCTCCAGAGGTCGCAGCGCTTGTCGTAGATGCTAGCTTCCTCACTGAAGGCCTCCACCACCTCGGGGGCCATGTACTCCGCCGAGCCGCACTGCGGGCGGGGACCGGGCGTCAGGAGCCCGCCGAGGGGGAAGGGCAGCGCCGCCAGGCTGGGACTTCCCGGCGTCACGTGAGGGCCCGAAGGCAGGGTCACCGGGGCCTCTGCGCCCAACGCCCCGCCAGGCCAATCAGAGGCGGGCCAGGGGCCCAGCCCCGCCCCTCCACCCAATCAACAGGTGGCAGGTGCCCACCCCGCCCAGCCACCCAATCAGCGGCCAGGAGCCGGCCCCGCCCCCTCCGCGGGGCCAATCAGCGGCTGTTGCTAAGCGAAACGCCCCAGCTCCGCGGCGGCGGCACCTCGAGGTTACGCAACCGCAGCCCGGGAGCGCGTCGGGGCGTGCCCGCTGCCCGCGCGCCTCACCGGGGTGAGCAGCTCCGGAGTGGAGATGGGGGAGCAGTCCCCGTTGAGTTTGATGCCGCTGCCCAGGTCGAAGTCGCAGATCTTGACGGGGGAGACCTGGGAGGGGTGCGAAGAGACGGTGAGGCGGGGGTCCAGGCCAACCCCGCCCCGGCCGCTCGGAAGGCCGCTCCCGGGCGCCCTCACCTGGTTGGGGTGCTCGCAGAGGATGTTTTCTGGCTTTAGGTCCCTGTGGGCGATGCCTGCGGGGAGAACCAGGGGGGGAGTCACTGGGGGGAGTGCGGGCATTGTCTGGGAGTCCGGGGCAGGTGGAGCGGGCGCAAGGCTGGACACCCCCGGGGGCCACGTGGGCCCCACCACCCACCTTTGTTGTGCAGGAAGTCCAGGGCACTGGCCACGTCCTGCACGACCACGCTGGCCTCCAGCTCGTTAAAGTGCCGCCGCTTGTGGATGTGGCTCAGGATGGAGCCTGGGGCCAGGCCGTGGAGAAGGGAGAACGTGTGCAGGTCACCCGTGTGTCTCCAGGCCACCGCCCAGTAGTACCCACTTCCACCCCACAGGCACGTGCCCACTCTGGCCTCCTTGGGCTCAAAGCCTGGACAGGAAGTTCAGACCCCACAATCCCCCCCCCCACCCCATGCACAGGAGGGACAGCTCTGAAAAGTCCCTCCTGGTGGCCCGGCCCACAGCCCATTAACCACTAAGACGCAGCTGGAGGCGTCTCCCAGGCTCCACGTACCGCCCCGCATCTTCTCAAACACCAGGTAGAAGCGATCCTCCTCCTCAAAGAACTCTATCAGCTCTAGAACATTCCTGGGGCATGGGGGGTTGGACAGGCAGGAGAGGAGGGAGGCTTCTGAGGACCCTGTGCACCCACCGCCCAGCCCAGCTGGGGCCCACCCTTTCCGCCCCCACCTACCCACAGAAGGCTAGCATGGGGGCCCCGGCCTGCCTCCACCTGCCTGCTAGGGACTGCGTGCGTGATGCTGGGTGTACCGCAGGAGACCCCGCACACAGACACACACTGGGTGCTCCCGAAATGCTTGCTGGGGCTGATGAGCTGTTCAGGCCCATTCACCCACAGACAGATGGCTCAGGGCCCAGTTCTGGGGCAAGGTGGGTCACATTACCTGTGGCCCTGGCACTGATACAGCATCTCCACCTCCCGGAAAACCCGACTCCGAATGTGGCCCGGCTGCTTCTCGATGATCTAGATGGGGGTGGGGCAGGAGACGGAGCAGCTGGGTCAGCCAGACCCTCCAAAGCCCAAGGGGCCCCTACCAGAAATTTGCCCTGTGCCATGCCTCAGACCCCATTAGAGCTTAGATCTGAAGTTCTAAGAAGCTGAGCTCTCCTCCTGGGGCCCAGAATTCGCCAGAAGTCAGAACTATGGCGTCAGCACAAGCTTGGGGGGGGGGGGGGGGAGGTGCAACATGTCTCCAAAGTGGCACCAGGGGAGAGACAGGCTGGACAAGAAAGCCAGAAAGAGAAAAGAGGGAGCTGGGCCTTCTCCACTCCCGACCCCACAGGCCTCAGGGGCATGTCTGTGGTCTGGGACTCCTACAAAATAACCCTTCAGGGGTGTCAGGGTCCCTGGGACTGGGCAGCCTCCCCTCCCTGACCAGGAGACTGGTGGCCACTGCGCGGGTTCCCACACCACCCAGGGGGCTGGAGGGGCCTTGGGGTGCCTGGCTGCCAGACACACCACCCCCGCCTGCCTCAGTGCCAAGTCCCACCTCTCCAGTTGACCGTCCGGGCAGCTGCCTGGGGACCCTCAGCCCATCCAGGTGGGCCTCCTGGGACTCAGCCTCAGGAAGCCAGCTTCTGCCTCCAATCCCCGCAGGCACCCAGGAGCTCTGAGGACCGGAGGGTCCCCCAGCCACCTTCGCTCCCAGAAGTGGGGGCAGAAGGTACGTGCTGGCTCTCCGGGCACCCTGGGCGCCCCCACAGCGGACCCCTCCGCAGGTTGGATCTTCGGCCCCCTCTCACTGGGCCGGCGAGGCAGGCTAGTCGCCCCCTGGCCCGGGGTTCCCTGTCCAGTGCATTGGCCTGGAGGGGGACACGGGGTGTTCCCCCAGCTAGTTCCTGCAGCAGGCAGGCATGACGTCCACTTGCTGCCGGGGCCCAGCCTATGCACTGTGCCACCTGTCTGGGGACAAACACCTGTGCCACAGAGAGGCAGGACAACCAGACTTCCGGGCCTCCTGACACAATGCCAGCAGCCACGCTCTGCTGGAGGAGCTCTGGGCAATCTGGCTAGGACCCCTACTTCATGGAGAAAAATGTGGTCCCTCAGGAGAGGGACGGCTTTACGGGCGGTCACACAACAGTGTGAGGAAGCCAGGCTGCTCAGCAGGGTCCCGAAGAGGAAAGCACCCAGTGCGCAAAATGCTGGAGGCTAAGCATCCACTTCCCTTGCACCATCGCCCCGCCCCGCTCACCAGGGAGCACCTGGTCCTCGTTCCTGGGCGGCCAGCCTCCTGGGACACCATCCCACCCAGATGCAGCATCGCCAGGGAGGACTGGAAGATTTCCCAGAACACAGGGTCACACTGCCTGGCCAAGAAACAGGTTTCCCAGACCGCTTGGCCATACCGTGGGTCAGGGGCTACACAGGAACACTCAAGAGGTTCTTCCAAGCCTGCCCTAATCTCCCCAAATGCCAAGCCTCCTCGGGTCCCAAGTAAAGCGTGACCTTTCCATCCTTGTGACCAACACGGAGAACCACTTTCCACTCCTGAGGAATGGCACGAGGTGAACCAGCAGACAAGAGCCAACTCTGACCGAAGCCCCCAGCCGCACTGGTCCTCAGCCACCTGCGTAGGGAGCTGCCCCTTGTGGTCACTTCCTGCCCAGCCTCGGGGGCTCAGACCCGTCTGACCTAGATTCCCAGGGGTGGCCTGAGTCACTGGCCCTGGGGCCATTTTTAGACACTAGTTTTCCCCAGCTGCTGGTCCAGGGGCTCAGATGCCAGCTCCCCTCCTCCCGCCACCCTCAGCCGGTGCCGGATCCCAGGCGCTGCGGGGAGAGGTGAGGAGGGCCGTCCGGGCGCTGGCATTCACCTTGACAGCGTACTCCTGGTTGGTGATGAGGTTGACACAGGTCTGCACGCGGGCATGGGCGCCCTCCCCGAGCACATCCTCCTGGAGCTGGTAGACGTCTATGGAGCAGGGGGGGCGGTTGAGAGCTGCCCCAGGCCAGCCCCTGTCTCCCTCCCTCCCCCGCCCCTGCTGGTGCCCACTCACCCTCAAACCTGCCCGAGAAGCTATCGGTGGCCCGGCACCGTTTCTTCTTCTTGCCCCTCTTCTTGGCATCCGGGATGTCGATGGGCTGGCTCGTGGGCATATCTGTACTGGGAGACCCGGAGGTGAGGCCGACCCTGCCCAGCAGGCAGCTGGCCCCTGAGGCTCCCCGGCCACGGCCCTCACCCACCCTCACCCACAGCCAGGGAAGTGCCCCTCCCGCTCAGGCCCTCACCAGGGCGGGTGGGGCGCTCCAGGCTGAAGTCAGTCTCCCCGTGATGGGTCTGGTCTAAGGAGAAGGCCAGCTCGAAAGGATTCTGCCCCTGTAGGGAAAGGAGAGGAGAGCGCTCTCAGGCCCCGCCCAGAGAGTGACCCAGCCCCCCATGTCCACAAGTCAAGGGGAACAAAGCCTGGCTTTGCCTGACTGTGAGGAAATGGACCTTCCCCCCTCCCCCCCAAGCCCAGGGCCCTTGGGGCGTCCAGGAAGGGGATGCGGTGCGGGGAGGGGCCGTGAGCAGGCAGAGGGCCCAGCATGAGTCACCGTGGTGCCAGGCCATGCCTCACACCTTGGTTGCTCACCCTGCAGAATGGGGACAACCTCCATAGCCCACCTGGACCTCTGGGCTGCCCGGGATCAAAGGCAGCAGGGCTGTTGGTGTGAGGGGATGAGTCACCGGCCTCCAGGCGGGGTTCCCAGCAGGGGCGGCCCTGCCTGCTTTCCCCCGGCCTCCTGCGCAAGGCCGTTCTGGCCTCAGTTTCCCCTCTGTCAAATGGGGAGCCACTGTCCTCCTGCCCACATACTGCTCCCTGTGTGGCCGCACTGTTACCGGACTGTGTCACTCCCCCAGACTCTGGAGGCTCATGAGATGGGCCTGCAAGGCCCTCGGCGGGAAAGCGGAAACACCGGGCCGCCCTCCGCCTGGCCCTGCCCAGTCCCGTTTCACCCCCAGGACACAGCCCCTTCCAGGCCCCCGCGCCCAGCTAAGAAAGCAGCCCTGGGACAGAGGGGCCCGCTGGAGGCAGCCCGCCAGCCCCCACGACTGGGGAAAGGGCGCCAGATCCTGACTAGGGAAGGAAGGCGGCTGGGGGTTGGAGAAACCATTTCGTATGCCCCACAGGATTGCTGGAAGAACTTTCTGCAGAGCAGATGGTCCAGGGTGAGGACTGATGGCCCCAGCATGAGGTGTGAGGCCTTTGAGGCTGGGGCCCAGCCAGGTTCCCTCAGGAGTTAGCTCTAATTTCGCTCCCTGAACCCTAGTAGGCTAGGTGGCCAGGGCCTCGCTGGGTGTGGGCGGCCTGTGTGCACAGTGCTGCTGCTGATGCTGGGTGACCCGGGCCCAGTCACTGCCCCTCCCTGGGCCTCGGGACAACCGGGGCTAGGCTCTGGCTGGAGGGTCATCCAGAGAAGGAAGCCCAGGAAAGCCCTAGAGAGACCCCGAGGGGCCCGCTGCCGAAGGAGCTGGGCCAGATTCCTACAGACAGGGGGCCCGGAAGCCAGGCCGGCAGCAGAGGGGAGGCAGGCAGAGGTCAGAGGGAGCGGCTGAAAACACGCACAGGACCTCCCCGCCTCCTCACCCACCCTGCAGATAGTTGCTAGGAGGCCCAGGCCAGGCAGGGCAGCGGGGAGAAGGGAGTACTCCAGCCCGCCTGCTCAGGGCTCACCCCCCAGCCCCTGGCCCTGCCTGCTGAGGGGTCCGGCCCCCGGAGGAGTCAGGCACACAGCCGTCTGATAAGACTCCTCCAGAGGCGCCAGGTTACTGCTTCCACCTGGGAGGAGGGGCTCCAGGGTAACCACATAAAGGGCTGATGACGAGGGAGGATAGACAAGAGGCTCACAGTCAGCAGCCGACGATGTCACCTCCCAGCTACCTCACCTTGGTCTGGTGACCTCAGCCCCGGCCTGACGGACATCTGTGGGTGACATGGGAGGAAGCTGCCCACGGCTCGTCCGACGGAGGAAGGGCGCGAGGACCCCAGGGGGCCTGCTGGGTCCCCTCACCACCCCCACACGCCTGTCCCGGCCTCCAACTCGGAGGCAGAAAGGGTGGCCAAGCCACCCCCAGGGGAGAGCCAGCTCCCATGTCCTCGCACCACGTGCAGGGGAGAACAGGGCAAGCCCCTGCACTGGCTGCGCCTCCAATTTCCTCACTTACAAAGGGGAAAGTGTGTTGGGAGATGCCTGGCAGAAGCCTGTCCCCGCTGTGCGGCTGCTGGCCGGTGGGGGGAGGGAGCTGGCCCCGGCCCAAGGGAGCAACCTCAGTGTGGTGCGAGTAGAGTCCCAGAGTGGCCCGGAGGGCCGTCTCAGAGGTGAGGCTCCCTGTCCAGTGTTCTTCCCACCCGCTCAGCACTCCCAGAGTCCCACCTGGGCGCAGCCTCTGGTCCCAAGCAATGTGGGCGGGCTGGGCCTGGGGCTGGCCTCAGGCCTCCAGTCAGCAGGCCTTGGCAGGAGGCAGCTGGAACCATCCAGAAAGTTCGAGTTTGCTTTGGCCGCCGTGCTGGCCCCTCACATTGACCCTGTCTCAGCTCCTGCCCGGCCCCAGGAGGGGACAGACCACTGCCAGTGACGTCTCAGGTCCACCCCCCTTCAGCCCAGCCCCGGACACATGGACGTGCCAAGGGTGTCGCTGCCCTGGGGGTGGGGGGGAAGCGCGGATGACAGGCATGTGGGCAGGGGTGGGGCACGCTGGCCTGAGATGCTGGCTGGACAGGCCTGGGAATTCTAACCCAAACAGTCTCAGCTTGCTCCTCCCACCCTGGTGCGCAGCGTGTCTGTGTGTACACACACACACACACATACACACACACGCACACGCAAGTCCTGCCTTCTCTACAGGGCAACAGGTCCCTACCCAAGGAGGCCCAGGGAAGCCATTACATAACGTGGCTGGCGGGGTGGGGCGGCCGTTGACATCACTGCGTCCCCTGAGCCAGCCCTGTGGGGCCCCAGCCCAGCACCTGCCCGCCGCCCCCCCCAGACGCGCTCATCTGAGACCAGGACTCGGCTGCAGCCATGGGGCCACCGCAGAAACTTCCCGCTCCCACAGGAAATAGCACTTGGGCCTGGAGTGTCTGGGAGGTGCAGGGCTGGGGGGCATCCAATCCACTCCCCCGTTCAGTAGACCACGTAGGAAGGCTTTGGGGCCCTGCAGCCCTACCTCGGATCCCTGGAGGAAAGACCCCACAGACCCACAGGCCCAGGGCGCTGAGGACTGGACTGCGGCCTGCTGAGCTCCCTGGCAGTGCACACCCAGCTGGGGTTTGCAGGGGACACACTGCCAGGTGCCCCCACAGGCTGCGGGCCCCAGGCCCCACTTGGGGTTCTTGGAGGAAAGACCCCAACAGTCCCCAAGGCGCTGGGGCCTGGACTGTGGCCCACTGACCTCCCCCCCCACTCAGCGCACACCCGGTTGGGGCAGCCCCAGACCCGGGGCGGGGGGGCAGGCACGAGCCCCGGCGGGGGGGAATCCTGGGGGTGGGCTACGCGCCCCCCATCGGCCACTTGAGTGGTCCAGCCCCAGGCGACCCCAAACCCACCCGGCCCTCACCTTGAACGAACGGTGGAAGCCCTGAAGTTCGGCTGTTTTCTTCTGCACCATCTTCTGTCCGGGCCCCGCCAGCGGGGGAGGGGACGGCGGGCCCGGGGGGACGGCCCGTGGGCGGGGGGCGGCCGGGGAAGGGACCCTGCAGGCGGGAGCAGACAAAGGAGAGCGTGAGTGGCTGCGGCCAGCGCGCCGGGAGCCCGGGCCGGCGAGGCTCCGCGGCGCCCGATCCCCG